CTCCAGGACTACTCCTAAAATGATTTTGGGGAAGCTGCTGACATTCCCCATCTTGAGCTGTTTGCATAGGGAAGGGGAGGGCAGGGGAGAGGTGGGGAGGGCAGGCAAAGGGATGGCAGGGGAGGGCAAGGGCAACGCTCCATTCTGAGCATCCGTAACAATAACCTATAGCAGCCCAAACATCTAGGGCTGTGGTGGGAACTGTGCTTAGTACTTCTGGACATTTAGCTCGTCCAATCCTGTCAACAGCCACGTGAGGTAAGCATGAGTGTCTCCACTTTACAGATGAGGAGAGTGAGGCACAAAGCACCCGTGGAACTGGCTTAAGTCCCCACAACTGGTAAAAGGTGCAGGTAGGCCCTGGCTGCCATGGCTCAGTGGTTTGGGCATCGTCCTACAGAGCAAAAGACCCCCAGTTCAATTCCCTGTCAGCACACATGCCTGGGTTTTTTGTTCAGTCCCGGTTGGTGCCTCAGCAAGAGGCAACCAGTCAATGTTTCTGTCTCGATGTTTCTCTCCCTCTCTTCCTCTCTCCCTTCCCCTCTAAAAATAAAGGATATCTTTTTTTAAAAAGTGGAGATAGGAGTAGAGCCCAGCTGTTTCAAAGGCAGTGCTCCGACCCACTGACCTTTACTAACCAGCCTCATGGCACATGCAGGGCCCAGGGAAACTCAAAAGTTTTAGCCGATCGCAGGGAACCCTCGCACGGCACCAGCCAGCTGGCAGCCCCGGCTAGCTGGAAGAGGGGAGTTGCACCACGGATGGCGGATTGGGGGCCTCGGAGTTCGGTTTCTTGCTTCTCCTGCCCAAACTCTTTCACTGGGGTTTGAGTAGGACAGTGATAAGGCAACATTCAGGGCTGCAGGTTGAGTGGGACACAAAGAAAACAGCCTTGTCTTCTACAACAAAGGTATTGTGGAAGTCACACTCTGGCCTTCTGGAGCTGCAGAAGAAGATTCTATGCATTAATTCTTCCACCACCCTCAGTAACCATTTCACTAACAAGTCTTGTACCTGCTAGAACTTAAATTAGATGCAAGATGTCCGGGCAAAATGAACCACTCATCCCTGTAAACTGCTATTTCTCTTTCCAAAATCCCTTTTCCTGGAGTGAGGAAAGTAATATACCCCACCAGCTCTGAGGGCCCTCTTGAAATTTAGGTTGCCAAAAGAAACAGAGACTTTCAATAGGGGGAGACAAACAGTTTTCAAACTTCTTACCTTCCTAGGTAAGAAGTTTGAAAAGTCTTTTGCTCTCAAGGGACCTTCAGGAGCTGACACACACTTGGCAGACAAGACAGGCGACCAGAAAGGGTGAGAGAGCTTGCCTGTGAGGACTGGGGTCCCGGAGGCAAAGCTCCTGCCAACATGATGCATCGCCTTTTCCCCAAGAGTGTCATTTATTGTGATTTTATACTTCTCTGCAGATCAGAGGTTCCCAACATTGCACACTGGGCTGTAAGCTCCCTTTTGGCAAGAGCGGATCTGCTGTGGTCCCTGAAGAGTAAGTACCCAGGTCGCATGCACAGAGAACAGGGCCTGGAAGCAGCACAGACTGAGTTTGACGTTGATTCTAGTCCTCTGACCAGCTGTCCCTGGGATGCAATGGACACCCACGCACTTGTCTCTGGAGCTTGCCCGGAATAATAAATAATTCAAGCTAGACTCCCATCACGGCTGACCTCACTCACATGTCTATTGTTTTTGAGACGGGAATTCACACTGGCCTTGACGGAGGATTTTAAAAGGGCACAAAATTAACTGCTTGATCCAAGCAACTGGAGAACGGCCAGTTATTCCACATATGGGATTCTACTTATTGACTTAAAAACTGGTTTCTCCTTGGGAAAGAAAAAAATGGGAGCTTTTTAAGCATTTACTCTTGAGTGCTCCAAGTATCTTGCTTCTGAGCTCCCAGATGCACCCAAGTCACACTCAGTTATGCTGCGAACGCGCGGCAGCTTCCTGCTTTGGCAGCACCTTTCTGTGAGCACCATTCTTGCGCCAGAACTGCCGGCACACCAGCCACGGTGCTGATCGGTTTCGCTGCCAGTTTCTCTACGGTGCTTTTCGGTATACATGGCACTGACTGGGGCCAGGGGACAGAATGGCACAGTATAAAGAGCACGGGCTTTGGAGCTTGTGACCTTAGGCAAAGCGCAAGGTGACCGGTAAGAAAATTCTGCTGTGCCGACCTGGCAGGGTTACTGGAAGACTGGATTCGTCTGGTCAGACTGCCACAACAAACACTGCAGACTGGGTCGCTTCAACAAACTTACTTTTTCACATTTCTGGGCGCCAGACGTCCAAGGCCAATGCTGGCAGGTATTTTTCTGAGGCCTCTCTTGCTGGCCTACAGATGGCTGCCTTCTCACTGCCCTCACATGGTCTTTCCTCAGTACAAATGCGTGTCTGGGGTCCAGATTTCCTCTTCTCATTTCGGGGCACACGATTCAGGCTGTAACAAAGACTAAATGATGAAGTAGAGGGGGAAATGTGTACTTTGGAATCACAATGCATAATTTCCACTCCTGGTTCTACTGCTTGCTAACTATGCCAATTTGGGCAAGTTGCTTAAGCTGTTTCTTCTGTAAAATGAGAGTAAGAATACCTCCCTTAAAGGCACTGTTGTGAAGATCAAACGTTAAGTACGCGTAGTGCTCACCAGTATCTGGGCCGCTGTATTTGCTATTGTTGCACTGTATTTTCCTAGCAATAATCAGTACTTTCTGTTTGCCTCTTTTTAACAAGGTGCCTCTTTTTAACAAGGTGCCTCTTTTTAACAAGGTGCAACTAGCCTTACCGATGGTCTGACTATGTAAAGTGACCAATCTCTGTTCTAGATATTGAGAACCATTTTTTGATTGGCTAAACACAGACAGCAACTGAGGTGGCGGATGAAGGGCGCCCAGCGAAGCCTTCCTCTGGTGATGAGGCACCGGCCACATCTGGCCACAGGGCTCCAGGCAGCTCCCTCCCAGGGTGACGGCCTGTGTTCCTCTGTCTACCCCATGACAGCATTTCCCTTACAGCAGAAGCCACAGACAGTCCATCCCAAGTGCACCGGCCAGACAGACAGTGGCAATAGAGAACGGGCAGCCTGCTACAAAGGCCTCCACCAGGCCAGCGAGAGCTTTGAAAGGGTGGGGTTTCCACTGGTGCTTCCAGTCAGGGACGCCTCCAGAAAGAAACCCCACTCTCAGTACCAACCTGTCTGAACAGGCAAGAACCACCACCTCCAGAAAGGAGCAGAGCCAACTCCTGTCCCAACACAGCTGTGCACATGGTCACAGCGGCACTGCTCCAGAAGTGGCCTGCAGATCTGTGCCCACCCACAAACTATTGGCTATGGTGCGTGACAAAGCACAGAAATCAAGAGTAAGCGTTTAGAAACAGCAGTTTGACAGAGCAAGTTTACATGGTAAATCTGTTATAAGAATTTTCCTACAGTTTTTATTCCATGTTTCTAGACACTCACTGCACTTTACAAAGTACTGGTCCACGGCAACCCGTCCTGCAGCAGCGTTTCAGCACCGCGTCGCCCAGGAGTGTGGAAAAGCCCATCACAGCGCAGCAGGGTGCCACTCTTCTGCCAGTCCACCACTTGGGTCCTAATACATGACCCTCCAAAAAAAGAGCAAAGCAAAATCATGGCATTCTTCTTCATTGCACCCTCAAAAGAAAACGGCAGTCTGTTTTCCTACCAGGAATATAGTAAAAACCAGCTTCTAGGGCACGTCCCAGCCCAACCTTTCATCACGCTGGGAGTGGCCAATGCCCGGAGTGCCCAGGACTCAGATGGGTGTGCACACACAGACACAACACTGCAAGACTGTTCAGGACTGGAAGGCATCCCAGGGGCAAAAGTCCTGCGTATGAGTCAGAAAACCTGGCTTCCAACCCTGCTTCACTGCCTAAAAGCTTTTGAACATGGTGTAAGTGATACCATCACGGAGCCGGTTTCCAACCACAGAAAGTGACTTCCACAATCTGCCCAATCTACATCTTAAGAGTATTCTGAGATTTAATGAGCCAACTCTCTGTGGAACATTCTCCTAGAATGTGGCAGACATTCAGGACAGGGTCAGTGCTGCGAGCCCAGCCTGCAGAGAGGGGTCTCAAAGGAAACAGCCCCCAACATGGCACAGCGAGAAAGGTGACCAGAATACTGACTTCAAGTATTTTGTCAAAGATTTATCAAATTAGAAAATGCTGTCTCCAAACGCTTCTCTGCAGAGTGTGCACTTTTCCTGAAGAACTGTCAAGTTTGTTTCCCCCCAGCAGCACCTAGCACCAGGGTGAACACCTGGAAGAGGACCGGCAGCCCTCGGGCAGCTCCCGGCCACGGCGCACCCGTGCCGTGCTCCAGGCAGCACGGGACTCTTACCCACAGCGGGAACTTCAGACGGGTATGAACTGTTCTCCATCTGAACTAGTACAGTTATTTGGAGACCCTCTGAAAAAAACCCCACAAATTTAAAACGCACCATTTCGCTCCTGTACTTTACAAGAGACCAGAAAAATCATAATGTATTTTAGCTTTATTGAACACATATTACAGTAGACGAACAAGTAGACAAACACATGCTTTATAAAATATACATTCTCGTGTGTGAGAAAACATAAATAGATATGAGGAAAGGACCACACTGAACAACTTGGATTATAATGCTCGTCAGGGACAGCTAGTGCCGGGACTGCTCAGACTGACACCCTCTGACGGTGGGGTGGGGGAGCACAGGGGGACGCAGTGGGTAGGAACAGTCTGTGGGTCAAGAGGCCACTTTCAGTAGCCAAGAAATATACTAAGAGCAGCTGACCAGTTGATGATCAATTTCTTTCAAGACAGTTACAGCTGATAACCATACTTACATTTGCAGACAGGCTCAACTCAAGCTGTATCTCACCTTCACCCCACCCACCGGGGAAGATTATTGAACTGACAAAAAGCAACACACAACCTTGAGGGAACAGGTCCAACTACTACTCTCTTAACACACACACACACACAACTTCGTACCCACAGAGCCTTCAGATGATTTATGGGCTTTCAGGTGTTTAGTTAAAAGTGGCTTGTAATATACCTCTCAATTCAGAACTTGTTATTTTTGCAACAAACCAGGCAGTGCCAAAAACGAAAGAAAATTAAGGTTAACTGATGTTGGTTTAGATTGTACTCCAAACAAAAAAGTGAGAAGGAGCAAGAAGGGAAAACATCTGCCAAACTGAACTGGGAAAAGCAGCTTGCAATAGAAAAATAAAATATTACTTGCAGATTGCCAAAATAAATTTCAGCTCAACTATTCGCAAGTACCTCTGTTATCACAATTAAGAAGCAAGATAAGAAATGGAGAGCACAGCATAAAATGAGAGCAAATTCACCTGTTGCTCCGTTACCCTCTTAGCGCTTCTGGGGGCGTTTAAACAATGAGAAAAGGCCACAACACACTCAGCTAAAATACTGGGTATAAACCTGAACATTTCCGACCCCACTCGAAACGGAGCCCACTGGTAAGAAGAGACAGGAATGAAAGTAAAGAGTAAAAGGGAGGGTTATAATACATTATAGTTTCTCAAACTTTCTATTATGGCAGTGCCATTTGTATCAGTAACTAGTAGTTACAGATTTCCTCAGAAAAATAAACTCAGACTTTCACGTTTTCAACCATGAACACAGACGAAATAGGCCAAGCCCCAAAATTCTTTTAAAAAAATTCTTCAGTGCTCTACACTTGCTTTACATAAAGGAATCTGAAGGAGGAAGTGTTTCTGGGGATTTCTGACACCAGAAGAATGAGAGAGACCTCGGTCATCCTGGCCATATTCCATCTCAATGCAGACAAGCCTTCAATGCTGTAACAGAGGATTCCTTAGCTCTGTCTGTATTTTTCCCACAAAAGGCTGATTATTCCAACTGTCAGGCAAACCTGACTGTTAGCAAGCTTATACAAAATGATTGGCAACTGTATTCTGCACCTGCCTGTAACTCCTGCCCCACTGACCGGATCCACGTCCTTTGGAATAAAATGAGAGAATCTCACCCTCATTTCATATGATAATGCTTTAAGTAATTCAAGACTTATCACCTCTCCCTTTTCTTAGGAAAACGGCTAAGAGTCTAAGTAGCTTAACAGCTTGGTGTTTCTTTTACAACCCCCCCCCAATGGGCAATGTGAAGGCAACTGTTCTTCAACGTGGAAGTTACCTCACAGGAAGACACACATCTGAAGCACTGAGCTGGCACAGGGAGGGAAGCGCACTGGGTGGAGTCTCTGCCATCCTCTGTGCTACAAAGTAACTTGCGTGCTAGGGTAAGCATTTTAGAAGCTGCTGAGTGACAGAAGGCCAATGGCTTCAGGGCAGCCCCCGTGTCAGAAAGGCCTGGAGGTCAAGGACGATGCTATAGTTCTTCCAGGTAGACTGGGAAGAACCAGTCTGAGGGGAGCAGACCTCGGTGGTAACAGACCTGGGGGCAGAAAGCAGTCTCCCCCGCATTTTTGTCTGCCTTGCCCTGCAACGTCCCTGGTCAAACTGGCAACAGGCAGACATGACGCCCTGGAAAGAAACACTGAGGAACGACCAGTCCTGATGATGGGACGGGTTCAATCACTGCCTGCTCAGAAACACAGGCAGTAATGAGAAGGTTCAGGACTCCTCCTAAGGTTAGAATTTACTGAATTTATTATTACTTTGTAAGCCCAGGGGTAGGCTCTGCACATTCAAATTCCTGACTAGTTTTTCAGACCAGTTTTTCAGTTACGTAGACAGGCTGGAAACACTGGGAGCACACCGCACCACTGGAGCCACCCTGGCGGAGACCCCACCCACCGGAGCCTGGACTCCAACGCCGCCACAGGAGCAGCGAGGAGGCACCGGTCCAGCTTGTTGTCATCCCCTCGTGCCTAACAGGTGATGTTCACCTGCAGTCTAGCTCTAACTCCACCTTCTCTCTCAAGGAAGTCTATCCCAATGTGAGTGGGAGCACTATGGTTACCGAGATAACCTTGAACCTGTGAGGAAGGTTAGCTGGGGCCAGCCTCCAGTGGATTCTGATGCCTCCAGTGGATTCTGGTGTGCGGGAGCACTGCAACGAGACCTGCTGCTCTGGAGGGCCACAGGCACTTGTCATTGGAGCCAAGAGTCCTTGTTTACTGAGAGTGTTTTGAAAGAGAATATTTCTTCTCATGATTATTTCTTGTACCTCCCGCTGCAGAGGAAATAAACCTGGCTCAAGTCAAGGCAAGCACCATCACTCTTGCTCTACCCTGACAAACATTTCATGAAAGCGGCTTTTTGTCAGAGTAGCAGAATCCTTCTTGGCTCCTGCCGGGATCACAGATTCATAGAACATTACAGCTGGAAAGGGCTTTAGAGCATCTGGTAACACGCACTCATTGCATAAATGAGAAAACTGGGCTGAGATGTCAAGGGACTGGCCCTTGATTATATAACTAGTAAGTAGCTGAGCTGGGAATGAAGTCAGCTCTCTTGACCCTAAGTTCGCACAAATTATACTACGACCTAGTCCGTAAGAAGGATCACAAATTGAAGGGTAGGGAAAAAAGATATTTAAGCAGTTCAAAGTAGAAATGAACAGAGGCCGGCAGTTTGAAAAGGAAAAAGAGAAAAGCATGGTGGAACGAAACAGCTCAAGAGGTGCTGCTGCCTATGGGAGAAAAATTTAGGATTGACAACAAGTATGAAATTATAGCAAAAAACCCCAGAAATTATGTGAGTTTAGAACCGCTGAAATGCACACTGACTTACGTATCTTTGCTCAAGTGACTGACGTCAGCTAGCAGGCAGCTAGCACTTACTAGATCTGGAGGACAGACTCGGACCACCTACATAAGGAGCCTGCAAGCACCCAGACTTCAGTCCACTGCGCTCCATTAGAGTGGCGGGTCCTTTGTTCACATAAAGCTTTTTATTGTAAGAAATTTGGAAACCTTTTGGGCTTAAATAATCCCAAGGACCACTCCAAAGCTTTGCAGTGTAACCATATCTGCACATTCTTCTACTTCCAAAAGCCCCCTTCCCTTAAGAGACACTGTGCATTGGTAGAAGAGACCTTATTAAAAACACAAACAGAAAAGAAGCAATCTTTGGTTTCCTCATTAACTAACTACTCTGTTGAAAGAAGGTATTCCCCAAATGAGTTCTCCTCTATCTACGCACATGGCAGCGCCAAGACTGCTAGTGCTTTGGAAGAGCCTTTTTGTGCTGGAAAGGTACCGTTACCTGGCACTCGTCAGCAAGTGTCCAGTGAGAGACGTGTGAACCTCTAGGTACGAAGTGGGTAACTACACCAGGACTGTGTGTGTGCACCCAATCATGAGGTACCTTGCCTCTATACATATACTTCTTGACAAATGGCATTTCAAAAACCTCAAAAGGTCTTTAGATTCACTAAACCAACATACACAAAATCTGTCTGTGGTCTGAGAAGCTGCTGTCAACACTGTAACTGGATATTACATACAATTTTGGCATATCAAAAATATTTACACTGCAGCCAACACAACGAATACAAAAATTATTTATAAATGCACATACATTTACAACGAGCTCCCTGGGTGACAGGGAACGCCCCCACCAAAATGAATTCACCAGAATATAAAACCCGTGACCTGGTACCAGCTGGCCAAGCCTGGGACTTGTTGCAGACCTTGAATATCAAAGCCCCACTCTCCGCCACATGCCGAAAGCCACTGACCAGTCCTAGAACACTCGGCGGGCTCCAAAGTTCTTCTTCTTTAGGAGACAACACAGAACAGGGAGGTTGTCTCAGAGCCCCTCTGTGGGCTGGGACCACTGGACACCGAGCAGCAATGAGACGCTCCCTGCTGCGCAGTGCACAGCCGGCTCAGCCCACGGCCCGTCAGGAAGCGCTCTGTCCTCTGTCCTCCTCTGCCCCCGCACACTTTTGATCACATGTACCACTTCCGTCAGCCACTGCCCCTTTTTGGTCAGGTGTGAGCCCAAACAAATGCCCGGCCCACTCGGTGCGGTCGGATGTAACTGTAGACAAAGAGTAAAGCAAGTGCTGACTGTGAGTTTCGTCTCAACTCTGAGGTAGCAAATACGAAATGAACTAACTCGGGCCTTTGCCCGGATTTCATCCCGAGTGTCTCATGTGCCCTCGCTACCATCCTGAACGTTCCGAGTCCTAGTGAAATCAAAAGCGCGGTCGTGTAACCTGTGATGGGGCCTGGGGGAAGCGGAACAGTCCGTGTCACGCTCCACCGGGCCCTCGTTGTGACGAAGCTGTGGTGACTCAAGCACCGGCTGCTGGGGAAAGGGAGGCCGAGGCGGGCCGAGTCCATCACTCGCACTCCACGGCGGCCGCTGCGGCGTCTCTGAGAACCAAAGACAGGAAGTACCGGTGGTGAATACAAGCTTGAAATTAATTTTCTAAAGCTTCATTTTCTTTTACCCAAATCTCCAAAAAAAATAAATAAAGATACCCAATATTCCTGAATAAGGGTACTGAGGTCAAATATATACTTGCTGCCTTCTTAGCAATAACTTAAAAAACAAAACAAAATCTGGAACTATGGTCTTGCAAACGTTTCTACTCAACAAACTGAACCACTATGTACTGAATCCATGCTATGTATCTTCTACTGTTGCCTACTGTTAGTGGTTCTGCTGCTACAAAATTTGAAAATAAAACTCCTTAGACACACAGAAACAGACGAAGAGACTAACAGTATCCACACTGTAATGAAAGTTGCATGATACACAGATAAAAACTGATTCAAAGCAGTCATTTTTAAATAATTAAATGTCTATTTTTCTAAAAAAAACTACCTTAAAAATAAACCTTTACTCCCCAGCTTCTAGTATGCCAATAATTCTAACAGTAAAATAATAGCCAAAAGTAGTGAATCGAATTATCTGTACTTGGGGTTCAAAAGAGTCCACTTCTCATTCTCTTTATTTACTGCAGGGGTGAGCTCTCTCCCTAAAGATCATTTACTGAAAGCTGTCTTAACTTCATGGGGATGCACTGTAGAGAAAGCAGGATCCAAACAAATGTTTAAAAACCCCATGTGAATACCAGACAGCAGGGTTCCTCAGGCTTTAACATACATACAAATAACCCAGGGGTTTTGTTCAGAGACTCTGGTTCACCAGGTCTGGGGTGGGGCTCAGGATCTGCCTTTCTACAAGCTCTTGCCGACAGACCACACTGTGCGTAGCAATGAGAGAGAGCACCCTGGACAGGAAACGAGCAATGCACCAACACACTCTCATTTGCATTTCCTCATTTACAGACCAGATAGATGAACAATTAAGATACCCCCAAAGTTAGAGAAAAGAGGCACTGCATTTATAGGTCTATTGAAAAGACTTTTGTGTGTGTGACTTTTCTGGGACACGGGAAGACAGACTCAGTGTTGGTGCATTTCTTTCCTGGACACCAAGACTAATTTTAAAGAGACTAATTTTAGTAACACTATACTTTCCTCTGACCTGTACCCTCTTTAAAACCTTCAGAGAGTTGGTCTCTTAACTAGACAAATAGACAAAGCTTTTTAAACGTTTCATGTACGTGTTACTATTACTTTCATCTTTGTTTACGTGAAGGAGATTTGAAATGCTAAGGATATAATTTGGTGAAGGTTTTTACTAAATATTCTGAAGTGTTCGGCTGCTGTGCTGTCAGGTAAGCACTGAATGTCAGTATCACTTGACAGGTGTTTGCTTCGAGAGCCCATCTCGAAGGGCCCATGTCCGAGCCTCCTCCTGCCAGCACTGCTCCTGGGAGCACCCCGTCTTCCTCCGTAAACCTGCACGTCTCGGCCCGCCCTGCTTCCAGTGCTCCTGGACCTCAGACCCACACGAGGGTGACCGACAGCTGGTAAAAAGCCCAGATGGACAGGGAGATGTGTACAGTAGTGCCCCTCACAGTCTTGAAAGAGTTCTGTTTTGTTTTGCTTTGTTCTACTGACCAAGGTGTTAGCAGATGCTCCATCTGTCCCATTTAACATGTATTCCTTCTCCTGGGCCATGTGGAACCAAGGACACCCCCCAACACTGCTTTTCCACATCTGCCCTGATCATGCCTCACAGACAGAAGCAAACACCTGTCAAGTGATACTGACATTCAATGCTTACCTGACAGCAGAGCAACCAAACACTTCAAAATATTTAGTAAAAACCTTCACCAAATTATATCCTTAGCATTTCAAATCTCCTTCATGTAAACAAAGATGAAAGTAATAGTAACACATACATGAAACGTTTAAAAAGCTTTGTCTATGTGGCTTCTGAAGGTTTAGAGTTGTGACCTTGTTACTCACACACAAGCTGCTTTCATCCTGCAGATGCAAACTTCTCTGTGACTCTAAGCTGGCAAAATCTCCTGCTCTAGTTAATACCAGTTAACAACTGCTAATCATTCCCTTATACTGATTTGATGGCTTCCTGTCAAATAAGAGTGCTGCCTACGTGACAGGAAAAAAATCAAGTGGGTGGAAGCGAAACCAAAATAAACAAAACCAACCCCGCTGTGCCCTTTACCACCGCCCCTGTGTGGAGGGCGGTTCCCCTCACCAATCTTCTCCCGGTCGGGGCGAAAGGCAGGCAGCCCCCCATCTGCTGGCAACACCAGGCTCTCCAGGGCAGAGGCATCTCGAGAAGGATGTGCCAGATACGTCTCTTTGGGCATCTGGACCATGAGGCTGGACAGTGTCTGATCTAGAACGTCCTCCTCGGCAATGTAGGTGTACGGACAGTGTTCTCGCGTCCTGGAGTAGATGTTGGCATTGTCGTAACAATCGGAGCAGATGACCCGCGTACTGGTGCCACCTGAGGACAGCATGGAAAGGAATCCCAACGCCCTTCAGTTAAGGGACCAGCGTCACCCGTCCTCGGTGTCCTTCAACACCTGCTATCCTCACCATCAGAGCTAAGCCCGATGAAGGTCGAGGTCCTTCTGTGAATTAACTAGTTCTCACAAGATCTCTGTAAGGAAGGGGCTGTTACTTCCCCGTCTCCCAGATGGGGAGACTACAACACAAAGAAGTTAAGGCGCTTGCCCAAACACACTGCCAGAGTGAGGAGCTGCACTCAGGCGCTCTGGCTCCAGGGCTCGGGCTCTCGACAGAACCGTCTTTGTCCAGCCTGGACGAGAGCATGCTCAGATCAAGGGAGCCAAAATAAGGCTGGCACTGCACTAAAAGACACATTTGGCTTAAGCAAACTCAACAAAGAACAGGGAGTTACGATGACTTCACTTCACAAAAGCCTGGGTTACTTTCAGGAGTCAAGAGGTTAAACAACAGTAGTTATAGAAAGTAGCCCCCAAGAAGCCAAGAATCCTGCCTGACAAATATGTGTTTGGCAGAAGCAGAAGTTTAATAGTGAGCTCCTCGGACTGTTCTGTGCTTCTGAAAACTGAATGACAAAAGAGAGGAAAGAGAGTGAGAAAGAGTGAGTTACTAATTCACGATCAAGCAACCAAATGTTAGAACTAGAAGACATCCAAATGTCATTAGTTTAACCCAGAAGGCAAAGTTATTTCCTACAAATTTCAGAGAGTAAAGGCTTTAAGTATTCTTTTAGAAGCTAGACATGCTCCCTTTTCCATGGAAAGCCAAAATAAAATTCAACTTATCAATTACATAAAGTTCTGTCAAAACCCAGCAAAAAAACCCTCTAGAAACAAAACAGACCTTTACTTTGTCTAGTACTTGAAGTACTACACAGACTTGTTGAAAGAATATGCTAGAATCTTTGGAGAGAAGTGCTTTATAAATATTGTTTCTTTGCTTTAAAAATGAGGAAATTAAAGCTCTGATCTTGGCTTGTTCATAGCCACAGAGCAGGGAGAGGAACTGAGAATCACACCCCGGTCAATGCCTTGCTCCCACTCCCCTCCCTGCGTTCTGTCACTCCCTGTGGGGAGGGGGAGTGGGGAGAAAAGCTGCGTGGAGAAGTCGGGTGCGTTTAATTAGGGCACATTCTCTCTCTCTCTCCCCCTCTCTCTGATACGTGCTGAGAAACACCCTCCCCCTTTGTATTTTGGTGACTGCACACCTGTCGGCAGGAGAAATGAACCTCCCCCAGGCGTGTCTGAAGGATGCTCCCCCTGAATCAGAGCAGAGACACCTGAAAACAGCTCCTGGCGCTTCTCCTTCCCACCACGACACTAGTTTGGGAGGCTGCGCCGACTCCTCCCAATCCCTGTAGCACACACTTCTGGTGACTTCTCTGCTAATTTTCATCCTACTTTGCATGGCCTCAATGATTTGAGTGTCCCTTTAAAACACTATTTCAGGTTGAAGAGGGAAACAATCACTAAAAAATAAACTCAGCAGGGCAGGACTAAAATTGTAAGCACAAGCAACGGAGAGTCATTACCGTCAGGGCCTCTGTGCAAGTGCCCACTGGCCGGAGGCATCAGCTGCTGGTGACTGCCTGCCTCCGAGCTGCTGTAGCCTTCCTGTGGCTCCGACAGAGTTCCTTGGGAAGACAAGTAGCTGGGAATGTCTGCAGGCAGATTAAGCTCCTCTGTAAAAGAGAAATGGGTTTGTCGCTCTCAAATAAAGTGAGGTAATTTACGCCAACACTCAGAAGACCACCTTGCAAATGGGTTCCACTGTGACACTACTGGCCAGGGAATGTTCTGTATTCCTGGGAACTCAACAGCTCTTAGGATTCTCCCCTACACCTACTCCTCACTGGAATGCTTTCCAAAGCTCCACTGTGAAGGTATTACCAGAAGAAACAAAACCTAAGTCTGAAATCTCGTCTGCAGGCACACGTGCACGGTCTGCGGCTGAGCGTCCTCTCTCGGGGCTTCAGGGCAGGGGTGTGAAGACTGATGCCAGGCGTAAGGGTTCCATCTCCCCACAGGGAAATTACGATGGAAATGAGCACAGGTATTAAGAAAAGAAGAGGGAGTGTCCACAAATTCTTAAAATTATTCATCGCAGGTTCTATTACATCAAGGAAATAGGACATTCTAACAGAACAACTCTTCCTTCTACCACACAGTTATCAAAGCTCCTTAGTTTTTATATTTTACAGTAAATCCTATACTACATTTCTGGCTCAAGTACAGGCTGCAGGTGTCAGCGGGGCCCACTCACCCGTGTTTGTGATACTGTAGTCTTCACTTTTCCTTCTCATGTGGTAAATCACAATGACCCAGATCAAAGAGGTGCCCACAACGCAGCAGACCACCACGATGATGACAATGCCCACTGTGGTCCAGCCATCATCTTCATGCCCAATGCCACTCTGGGAAGAGTCGCAGTTCGGGGATGACATGACATTCAGGTAAATGTGACCGCGTTCTGTCCCAAGAGTGTTAGACATAATGCAGGTGTATTTCCCGGCATCCTCCAGCCCAGCGTCCACGATGATGAGGAGCTGGTTGGCGGCAGCGAAGAAGTGCCGCTCGGTCACCAGCAGCGGCCCGTCGTCTTTGGTCCAGTTGAGGCGAGGGTGGGGACTCCCTCCGGCGATGCACTGCAACACCGCGGTCTCGCCCCGGGCGACCGTCTTGTCCTCCAGGGGTCTGATGAATGAGGGCGTCTCTGACAGAAAGATGTATAAAAATCATATTCAGCAACTGCATTTCTGAAGTCCTACTGAATTAGACCGAGGAGGTGAAAATGAAATAGGTACTTTCATATAGTCGCAAGAGGACTAGAAGTTACAATTTCAAGAAAGCAAAAGCCTCAAAAAAACCCTAAATTTTATTTCAGTAAGTCCACCTGGGGCGTGTTATCTAAGCTAGAAAACTCAGAGATCTCTACAGAGATGTCTATTATAAAATGAGTTGTAATTTTTAAAAATAAAGGAGAAAACCTAGCAGGAAACTGATTAAGTAAATCACAGTACACAACCACGTGACATTTTATGAAGACGGGTGACAGGGTAACCCTGTGATAACAGTAAGTGGAAAAAACAGATGAACAAAACTCCATAAAAATGAGTCTCAAAGAAGTCCAGAGTGACAAGATCTTTAACAAGTGTCTGAGTGACTTTCCCTCCTTTATTCTAATTCTGTGTGTAAAGTTTTTTAATACAATATACCTGGTTTTTGATACATGTAAATAACACAAACCAGCAAATGTTTAAAAACCTTCATATGTAGGGAAACAGAGAATTAGAAGCAGATTTAAGTTCTGTGAAGAAAAACATTCTCCCAAGAAAAACACAGGCTTGTCAGGAGAAATCTTTAGGGAAGACATTTTACCAGAGCATAAATTTAAGAGGAGTGTACTGGAAGGAAAACCGGAAATCTAACTAGAAGACAGGTCATCTTGCCTGCATTAAATACATTTCATGGACGGGGGGAAACAGTTACACTGTTTGAAGCTCTGTGTGACGCGGCAGCATAAAACAACCAAGGGAGACATGGCAGGAGAGAGGGACCTGAGTATTCCATTCAGGGATCGAGATCTCCGAATCCGCCCTGGGCAGCCCCCAGGTCTCACCTATCAGATCCACTAACCTCCTAGGCTCACATAACCCTGCATAAACCGGCAAACGAGGTGATGAAGAGGTAAGGATCACAGCGGAAATCTCGGACTCAGCCTTTTCCTGTCACTGAGGTGAAGATTAGGTCCCTAAAAAACAGGCTCCTACAAAAGCAGGGACCGGTGGAGCAGCGCACATACCTAACACTGTGAGTGAGGCATTGGCTGAGAGGCCTCCGGCTATATTCTGGGCCATGCAGCTGTAGACCCCCATGTCTTCCATTTTCACGTTGGCAATGAAGAAGACATCGTCCTCGGGCATGACATGCATCCGTCGTTCCCGGGCCGCAGGAAAGTCAGTGCCCCCGTCTTTCTGCCAGGAAATCTGAGGCGCAGGGTGCCCTTCTGCGGCACATTCCAGTCTGGCCATGGCACCGGTGCGAATAGTTAGATCCATCGGAGTTTTCAGAAAAGATGGCATCTCTGTTCCAAGAAAGATCGCGGGGAAAATGGGTGGGGGAAAAACACGCAGAAAACACAGAGGCCAAATGGCAACTGCTACAATGCTGCATTTCCACACTGACCGTGAAACACAACTTCGGAGGCCCTTTCCCTCTCACAGTGTGTGGAGCACAGTGACGACTAGCTCTGCTGGCATGCATGACACACCTTCCCGATCCCCCCATGGCACAGGGGACACAGACGGCCACCACCTTTCTGAACTCCGTATTTTGGAAGCTGGCATTTACTGAGACTCCCTTACCTGAGAGACCGAGCGGTGCTTCTCAAACTACCATGTACACAAAGCTGCCACGGCAACTGTATGGCACCAAAAAAGTGTGCCTTCAAAAATCCCATAGATCAACACAGAAGCAAGACACAAGTACATCTTCTGGGTGCACAAAGCCTAAAATGTTGTAGTTATTCAATCTAATACATTGGACTTTTTTTTATAGCCACAGCGAAGAAGAGCATTAATTTCAGAAACAGTTTGGTGTGACCACGTTCAGACAAAGATGATGACCGCGGACCCAGACATGTCCCAGACACTCCTGGTTACTGGAAGGCCTTGTGAGCAGTGAGAGTGCATTTTACGGTTGTCAGAACAGAATTATGGTTCTGGGAAAAAACACAGTTTCGAAAGAATTTTTCCAAAAGCATACCTAACAGTGAGAGCCTGTCTCCTAGGGCCATGGAATTCATATTTACCCCTCAACCAGTGACCAGTTAGGGACAGTAAGTAGACAAACTGACAGTGCGGTCTTCACATAATCACAACCCCAGAGACAAAAATGGTAAGATCCGCCCCTCAAATGTCAGGTTTAGCCTAATTTTCTTGAGTCGAGTGGTTCAAAGTTGAATGTGAAGAAGCTTTCTAACTACGAAAACTGATTAGGGAGCATAATTCCTTACCATTCACAGTCAGTCTGGCTTTTTGAGAATAATTAGAACCAAAGTGATTAGTAACAATGCACTGGTATTTTCCCTCATCGGTGAAATTCACATTGGACAGATGTAAGACACTGGTATATTCCAGAGCCTCTCCAGCTTGCTGCTGGTAACGAACGAAATTCTCAACATCGGGATCACACAGGATTTCACTGTCTTTGCGCCACACGGCAGACATGGGTGAATCGCTGCTGCTCGCCGCAGTGCACGTCAGGGTCACATTCACGCCTCGGAGAGCAACTGTGTTTCCAGGGTGTGTTCTTATCTGTGGTTTGAGAAAATCATCTAGGGAAAAAAATAATGGGGCGGGGGCAAAGTCAGTTGTTTGCTTTTGCTTCTGCAAGTTCAATTTTAAAACAAATAATGTACAATCGTGTGCTCTGTTCACAAATGGCACGTTAAGACTAAAAGAGACAACAGAGCTCGCCTCCATTCCCTCATTCAAAGAAAACTGGGCCCAGAAGGGCCACGGGGCTTCCTCGAAGACCTGCAAGTCGGTGGCACAGCCTGCCCGGAACTCAGGGCTCCAGACTTCAGGGGTTAGCACTTTTCTCACTACCCCTTACTTTCACTTATGCTTAGAATGTACTTCTTAAGCATTAGCAGTTCCTGGGGCAAAAAAAAAAACAAAACCCTTTACTAAAATTTCAAGACAAGTTCTAATCCTATTACCTCCTTTAAAAAAATTCTGTTATGAAGACAGAGGTGTGTCACATGTAAAATTTACAAAATTAATACAAACCACAGACAAAATCTCTCAGGTCCACACTCAGGAGGCTCTGCCCTGCCAGCCACTCGGGGTGGGCACAACTCGCATTCACGGAATGCTGGAAGTTATTGTCCACCAGCCACTGAAGCAGCCACTTCAGGTGGCAGTCACAAAGCAAACTATTTGTGTTCAGAATCCTGCAGATACAAAAAGGAAAAGAAGTACTTTGTATTTTATATTCCAAGTTCCTTCAAGCATTAAAAGGTCACTACACATCTAAGTATTTTTCTTGCCAAAATAATGTATAACTTGAATCTACTGTGAGAAAACAAATTCACCCTGTGAGCTTGAACTCCTCAAATATCGTTAGTGTCATGAAAGATATTAACACAGAAGAGAGGGAGGGACAAGGCAAGGGACCCATTTCAGAGTAAGGAAACTAAAGAACAGTTACAACGAAATGAAATGCATGATCCTTGGCATGTAGCTTTCACAAAGAAAGCTACAAAGAACACTTTCTGACACTGGAGAAGTGAACTATGAAATGCATATTGGGTAGTATTTTTCCTATGTTAATCTCACCGGGGTGACAGTAGGGCTGTGGTTATGTAGGAAAATAGCCTCATTCTTAGGAAATACAGGCTGAGATGTTTCAAAGTAAACTGTCATGTTTCCAACTTACTTTCAAACGGTTAAACAAAATAATAGTGTGTGTGTACATATATGTGTCTGTGTGTGAGGTGTCAGGGAGAGAGATGGAGAGAGAGAGAGGGAGGGAAAGAGTAAGAGAAATAGATAACAAATTTAACAAAACGTTAACAATTGGTGAATCTAAGTAAAGGGTATACGAATGTCCTTTATACCTTCCTTTAAATCGTTGAGATTGTTGAGGTTTAAAATTTTTCCCAGAAAAGTTCAGGAAAAAGTTATACACACACACACACACACACACATACATATAAGCATAATTTCTCAAACTGCTTCATGAAGATGGAAAACACTTCAGCCTGTGGCAATGTGCACTACAAACTTAAAGAACCACTGAAAAATTATTTGTGGTCTGTAATAAGCCTATAAAACACAGGGTGGATTAAAAGGTTTACAGTTGTGAGTATGTAAACCAGTTTATTTGTGTATTGCTATTTCTTAATTATGTATTATTTATTTGTATTACAACTATAAGCCTACTTTTGCCCCACCCTGTACATTTAAAAAATTGGTGTTTTCTTTCAATGGCCCCTCATCTAGTTTTCAAATGTGGTATAAAGTACCCAAGATATGATTCCAAACACTGACTTCAAACAGTCTTTAAGGGTGTATCAAAAGCCATTTTTATCACAGGTAATTTTCATTAAGCAGGCCAAAAGTTACCTTATGCATTGAAGAATTATTATGTTATATTCATCCCTTCATACACAGAGAAATACTTGTACCTACTATGTGCCAGAAAGTGCTACAGACTGTGGGAATACAGCCTTCATGGAGCTTATGTATTTAGAACCAAGCAATAAACAAAAACACGCAAATATGTCGGAAAGTAAGTGCTATCAAAACCCACACGTACACACAGCTGGACAATGGCACTGAGCAAACAGCTACCAGTTTAGGTCAGATGGTCAGGGAAAGATTCTTTGAAGACACATTTGGACAAAAACCTGACAGTGAATCCCGGGAAGACCTGCGGTTAAGAGTATCATAGACTGAGGAACCCGAGCGACAGTGACAGGAACGAGGCCAGAGGGCTGGGCAGAAAGGACCAGGCCACGCAGGTGCTTTGTAAACTAAGAACTTGAATTGTTTTTTTCTTTTGTGTGATTTCTCCAAAATCTGCTTTTATTTCTGGAAAATGGGACTGAAAATGCCTACCTCAAAAAAAGTCCAAGTAAAGTAGTCAGCACAGTGCCTGACCACAGATACGGCTGAATTCACCCTTCACTTCTAACGCCCTGCATCTCTCTGCCCTTCGCATGCTCTGCAGCCCCGCCCGCAAGTGCCTAGCAGAGCACCCTGCAGTCTCTCAAGCAGGAGGGCAGATGCCCAAACATCAACACTCACTGTCTCTGAGTAGTAGGGATTTGGGAAGAGGGATTTCTCTCCCTCTTGGTTTAACTGCACCTCCTAATTTTTCCACCATGATTATATAATTGTAATGCAAAACATTTTTTACTTTATACGCAACTCCCCAACTTCCCCCAATATTTACACAAAGCATTGTGAACAATACCAAAAAGTATAGAGATTTTACTAAGTGTTGATGTAAAAAGTATTATAAATATGACTTAAGATTTAAAGTAACTAAAAGCAGCCCTTGCTGGTGTGGCTCAGTGGACTAAATGCTGGTCTGCAAACCAAAGGACTGCTGGTTCAATTCCCAGTCAGGGCACATGCCTGGGTTGCAGGTCAGGTCAGGTCCCCAGTAGGGAGCGTGAGAGGCAATCACACATTGCTGTTTCTCTCCCTCTCTGTCTCCTTCCTTTCCCCTCTCTCTAAATAAATAAAACATTTTAAAAAGTAAAGTAACTAAAAGCAACCAAACTTCTCAGTAAAAAAAGCTGCATTAGAGTCCCTGCATTAGCAGTTTGCTCAAACCAACTCCCAAATTACTAAATGACTCTCTGAAAAATGAAACAGTAATATGTGCTTTCATCTACTATCTAAATTACATTTTGAACTGAGCCCATAACAAGAGTTAAACTTCCTTGCTGGCCCTCATGTTTTCACAGGCAAAACAAAAAGGTTTTGTCATACTGACATGCAATAATAATCCTTGTAAGTTAACCTAAGCCTAGGAGAAAATTCTAAATATCTCAAAAAACAAACCCACTTAAAAATTCTGTAGAAATAACAACATGATAATTACCAGACACTTTACTTTTGTTACTAACATTATTTATTCGCCTTTGCTATGTGCCAGGCTCTGTGCTGAACATGTCAACACTCTGCTGGGTTTCCTCACACAGAGGGTGGGGAGCTAACTCCCTATGACCGGCAAGGCCCTCCAGGGCCTGGCTCTTGCTAACTCCCTGACCTCGCGGCTCCCACTGCTCCCCTGCTCTTGTCTTCCAGCCACAGCAGTCCAAGCACGGGAAGCAGGCCCCTATCTCAGGGCCTTTCCACTTGCTCTTCCCTGGGCCTGGAATGCCCTTCACCCAGTATCCAGTGGTTTGCCATCTCATTCGCTGAGGTCCTGGTTCAAAAGCCGTTATCGTCGGGAAGCCCTGCCTCACTGTTTCCTCTAAAATTACAATCCCTGTCACTCTCCACACCTCCGCCCCAGCTTTGTTTCTCATTGCAACATTTACTGCCCAGTGAGATGTCGTGTGTCTACATCACCTGTCCTCCTCACTAGAACCCGTTCAGATGAGCTATGAGACAGAGACCGTCCTGTTCGCTGCTGCGAACAATACAATACCTTACATAAAAGGTGACAATAAATATCTTGAATAAACAAATTCATCTCATTTTCTCCTCACAAGCCCCAAGGAAGATGCTAGTATCATTTTAACTAGGGGAGCAGTCTTGGGCTAATCAATCTGCCCGATGCGGCAGAGCTGTAGAGAATGGAGCAAGAATTCAAACCCAGGCATTCTGAACTTGCACACTTCCGGTGCATCTCAAACTACGTGGGAAAGAACCAATTCCTGAAGTTTCCCATCTGCTGTAGATCAGTACTTTTCTCAAATTCAACAAAAGTGTCACCGTAATGTCAAACTCTTCTTCAAGTTTCACACACTCACTCTGAGTTTCCATCCCTACCTTATCATGAACTGGTTCTGGTTCACAGACCTTCCTTTAAGTAGCTTTCAGGTAAGGCAAGATGAATTGTTATATTCCCTGGCTGGCTTGAACAGATTAGTGACAGCCTTTCTGAGCACTGTAACGAAATTGCTAAATCATCCCCAAAAGAATTACACAATACCTAGTCGTAACACGCCCCAAGAGGTAAGGACTGGAAACACATGACCCCAATAGTCCAACAAGGAAGCAGCTGGGGCGGGGGGCACACACGACGGTTACATAAAACACAGGGAGTGGTGCTCACTACAATCACAGGCAAACAGGAGGCTGTGGTATCACACTGTGCTTTTCAATGTTGGGTTACTTTTTAAATTATATTCAGCCACTAAAATAAGTGCATATTAACACTCTCTTTCCTGCCTCAATTGTGTGCTTTTAAAAACATCCAGGTCATATTCATCACACATTAAGCACAAGCATAGATAATGATCTAACTGGTGACAAAAAATACTTGATACGTACAGTTCTTTCAGGTGAGTCTGAGAAAAAGCATTTTCCTGGATAGACATTATAGCATTGTTGTTCAAATCTCTGCAATGAAGAGAAACCAAACATTAGCAGTCACCATTTCTACAATTAAATTCTATAAACACTTTAAATGGTCATGAAAAGTTATGCTAATAGGAAAGATTATGTATATACTGAGAAAAGTATATGCAAAATACGTACAGATGCTCGAGGGATTCAAGACCAATGAATGCTTTCTTTGTAATTGATTTAATCTGATTTCCTTGTAAGATTCTGAAATACAAACAGACCAATAAAGCTGTCCACTAAGCAAAATTAAATTCAGTAAGTCAAACATTTACCTATAAAGGTGAAAATAAGCTTATTGTGTGTCCCAAACATTTGTGATTAACCAATGCAAAGCATAGAATGAAGACTTGTATTAAGATGTTAGAGCTCAATGAGGTACCCATGAGTAACCACCTGACCGCCAAGACACTGGCAGTTTTCACAGAAGAAATTGAATTCTATTCCCAGTTTCTCTCTTTTTAGCAAAAAATCATTAGCGAAGAAATTCCGACGAGTGTGCAGGCCTACAGAAATCCTCGTGGAAGAAAATCCAAAGTCTTACTTGAGAGAACCCTCTCGTGTCAGACAGATTACCCACATCTCCACGATCACTCGTCCAGCTCTGGCTTCTCAGTGCCTTTTTTTATTTTACTTAAGTAGAAATCTAAGCTCCATAAACAACTTCCTTTTAAGTGCCCATGGGAATGCTCTTTCAATAGAAAGTGTCCCGCCACAAAAAACAAAATTGAAAAAAACACACAAAAACAAAAAACTTAATCAACAGAGCTCCTTTCAGTGAATGAGTCAAAAGGCTTAGACTTTCCGGCCATAGCAAATAGACATAATCCAATCACATTTACAAGTGGTTCTTTTTTTTTTTTTAAGATTGTATTTATTTATTTATCCTTAGAGGGGAAGGGAAGGAGAGAGGGAGAGAAACATCAATGTATGGTTGCCTTTTTGTGCGTCCCCTGCTGGGAACTGGCCTGCAGGGAACCAGCCTGCAACCCAGGCATGTGCCCTGACTGGGAATCCAACTGCAATTGTCTGTTTCGCAGACACGCTCAATCCACTGAGCTACACCAGCCAGGGTTTTACAAGTGGTTCTTAAAAATATTTTAAATACATACAATTTAGTGAGGCTTGTGAGTCCAGCAAAGGCTTCACTAGCATCTTCTACAGCCCATGAAATTTCATTGTTTCTTAAGTTTCTACAAAAATGTCAGGGAAAGAAAGGTTATGTTAGTCAATATGACCATTACGCCATCAAGCCCCACTCTGGCATGGCCGGGCTAATTGTGATCCTTATTTTATGAGCTAAAGTTATAATAAAGACAACCCTTTTGTTAAAAAAAAAAAAAAAAAAGAGTACCTGCAATAAACATGTAAAAACTGATCCTCTAAGCTGAATTTTAAACTGGCCTTAATAAATAAATTAAGCAATCTCCTAAGAGTAGCTAGCAATCGCCCTACCTAATAGCCGTAAACATGTTAGCAGATTAACACTTAATAGTCAGGATGCCACAAACAGCAAGAGGACTTCAAGATGCAGGAAATACAGCTTACAAATCTGATTCAGACTAATGGGATTTCTGGGCAAGCCAAGCCTTTCCTTGGGCCCTTAACCTAAAAGGGCTGACAAGAAGCAAGGTCAACACAGTCTCGCAGCTCCACAGCGACTAAACATGGCCCCTGGGAAACGAGAACGACATGCCCCCGTGCTGGAGGGACCACTGCTTTCTTCAAAAGGAGAAGTAGGGGTCTGTTAAAATCCACTGCTCAGTTCTCAGAGGAAATGCAATTGCACCGCACCACGTTCTGATGGAAGAAATGCCAGTTCAAGATAATCACTTCTGCTGCCTTAAGTCGTCTCATAATAAAGCACAGTGCTTTCTGCTTTGTAAGACACACAGGCCCACTTGTTTGAGTAACACTAAGGGGGCAGGAGATCACTCTTCCCACTCACGGTTTCTGGCGGTACGAGCTAACAAGGCCCTGTTTTGCTAAGGAGGAACACGGCTCAGCTCTTCAGGACTCTCCCCTTCCTCCCAGCACAGATCAACCTCCCCCACCGAAATGGTAGGAAGTGTATCCTCTGGCAAGCCAGCATTTCTTGGATCTGATCTTAATGCTGTCTTCACAACCTATCTCTGTAGCATTAGACAATCCTTTATTCTGTAGTTACTTTACTGAACTTTAATATTACAAATAATAATCAGTGGTATACTGAAAGAACCTGTTTGCCATCTTTTGATGGCCAAAAGGCAACCCAAATCTGATAACGAATCTAGGCTCACCTCTGATAATGTAGAAAAGGGGGAGGATAGAGGGTGATCACTTTTAATTTTTCAAGGTCAAATCTGAAGGCAGACTACCCCACTAAGTAAAAAAAAAAAAAAATGAAATACACACTCACGCACATACACACACCACCTTTAGAAAATGATCGTGCTTTCTCTCTCGCTGGTCAGGCCCAAAAGTCTGGGAACCTGCCCTTTTCTGAGACCATTTATCTATCAACTCTGAACCTCAGGAGCAGAAAGTCCGCTAATTCAGGAATCTTGAGACTCTACAAATTCTACTAATTACCATTTTCTCTTGTAGTGTTCTATGTTTGAGATTTCTGCATTTCATTAAACTACCTCTCCATTCAATTATATACCATGATCATGGTAATATTCAATCTACAGAACCACCAAATCTTAGAGCTGAAACTGCCTTTAGCAGCCACGTCATCCTATGTCTATCTTCTTTGGGCAGAGAGACAAATAAAAGGATACCCAGGAAAGGTTGAGCGATTTTATTCATCTGGAAGCATGATAAAAGCAGATGAGCTTTTAATATCGGAGACCTGGTTATAATCCTGGTCCAAACTTTTATAAGCTATGTGATTTTAAATAGATCATTTTAATCTCTCTGAACCTCAGCCTCCTGATAGGGAAGAGCAATAACATCCTAGTATTCTAAAAGCACCTGGCACATACCAGATCGTTATTAAATGTTAATGTCTTCTGTCCAAAGTCATGCAGCAAATCAGTAACAGTGAGCAGCTCTCCTGACACAGCTACACCTTCTACGACCTTTCAAATAAGAAATGGTAGTTCTGGCATACTACTGGTGGCTTAAGGTTAGAGGAACGAAAAAATGTGCGTTCTTGACACTAGCAACTGCATTTTACTCCACAGTAACTGGCACACAAGATGCTCTGTTATTTAGTTGATTAATTCAGAATTAAAGTACAAACAGAACTGGCTAGAGATAAATAAGATTTAGATATGGGGACTGAGACAAGTAAGATTGTCTTGCACGAGGCACGGGACAAAAAGAACCACAAAATATTAACATGTAAAAATGTGCAAATTATTTAGTGTTTTATTTGCCTTACTGCTTTTTAAAAAAAATAGCAAAAAGAAAAATACAGGTGTACTTACAATATCTGAAGATTGGAAAGAAACCGAAACACACCATCGGCAATGTGAGTGACTCTGTTGTCCCCCAAATTCAGTCTCTCCAGTAAGCTCAGACCCACGAAGGCAGATTCATCCAGGCGAGTCAACTGGTTATAGGACAAATCACTGAAGACAGGAAACAAGAAAGGTAAAAAATCCAACTTTCACATCCTTATTCTATTTGCAGGATAAATTTGGAGCTTTCAACAAGTTTCTAATAGAGAGGGGGGTTAGACTCTGTTACTGGCCACAGGATGATTTACTCTGACCTGCTCCCGTCTCGGAACCTCCACTGAGCCGCCCCGACACTCACAGTTCCGACAGCCTCTGGCAGAACTCCCATGCGTCGGGGCTGATCCTTTCCACAGCGTTCTGGCTCACGTAGAGCTGCTGCAACATTCGCAAGCCATACAGCCACCCCTTGTTCACCTCTGTGAGGTTATTATGCTCCAGTTCTCTGCGGAATTAGAGAAGAGAAGAAGAAAATATGTTCCACAAGTAGCAGTGCCATGAGCCCTGACTGGTGTGGCCCAGTGGATCAGGCAAACCGGAAAGGTCCCCGGCTCGATTTCTGGTCAGGGCACAGGCCTGGGTTGTGGGTCCCCAGTTGGGGGCATGCAAGTGGCAGCCGATCAATGTTTCTCTCACACACTGATGTTTCTCTTCCTCTTCCTCCCTCACTTCCCCTTTCTAGAAAATTAAATAATACTACATAAAATCTTTTAAAAAAGAAGCAGTGCAATGAGAAGATTCCAAAAATCTCCATTAAGTCTGACTCAGAGAAACATATGGCTTTGTTGAATCCAAGTGAGCCAGTAAGTTCTATTCAATAAATATTCGTATCTTACCTAAGGTTTAGTGTTAGTAGTAAAACTGTCTAAAACAGATCTAAGGGGTCTGGGGAGGGGGCTAACAGGAGAAAGAAGGGGAAGGGTCAAGTCAGGGAACATCTACAAAGGACCATGGACAAAGACAACAGCGGGGAGGGCTGAATGTGAGAGGTGGGTGTTGGGTAAGGCAGTGGCCAGTAATGGGGGGAAATGGGGACAATTGTAATTGAACAACAATAAAAAAAGACAAAAAAATAAAATAAAATAATCAGGTATAAAGTCAAGACACGAAGAGGTATACTTACTTGTTCTGGATAAATTCTGATAATTTTCATCAACAAAAGATGAAACATTAAGAGAACAAAGTATTTAGATGAAATGTTTGTAAGAATGATGACAAAAATGCGGGTTAGATAACAACACTTATAGAGCTTTGTGTACACTTATTCCACATCAGAGAAGGGAAAAAGAACTAATGTACCTTGGTATATTCATAATCTACAACTATTTCAGTTGTCTGGCACTAAAAAGTCCCAGTCATCCCCCAGTCCTAACAAGCTCCTATTTCTAGTTCATAGTACTCACAATTCTTCCATGTTATCCAAGCCAAAGAAAGCTCCATCTTTCAGTCTGCTAATTCCATTCCGTTGCATTTTCAAAGATTTTAAGGAGTCCAGCCCTTGAAACGTTAGGCCTTCCACAACTTTAATTCTGTTTCTTTTAAGTTCCCTTTAACACAAGTAGTTTTACAGTCAGAAAACCTAGTTTTCTAATTTGCTCTAATAATAATTAAAAAGGAACAGATATAAAAAAAAAAACCGTCTATTGAGTTACTCACAAGAATTGGAGGTGAGGTAGCTTAAAGATCTTGGGTGGAATCATGCTAATTCTATTACGGTTTAACTTGACCACTAATAAGGAATTTGATAAATTATCAAAGCAACCGGCCTCCAAGATGGTTATCCTATTATTACTCAAATTCCTACAAAGAACAAGATAACAACAAAAAATTAGTGGAACAAAAACTCTACTACAGGAAAGCTGCCCCAAGGCCATGACTGAGCTCCAGCTCTACCACTAGCAACTGTGCACAACTTTACAAATCATTTAACTGCTTTGTTTCCTCAACTGCAAAATATGGATGAAACCTACATCAACTGGGTTGAAACAGTACATGTGAACATACTTGTAAACTGTAAAACATTAAACACACGCTAATTATCATCAAAGACTGAACCGCTATTTAACAAACCACTCCACCTACTTTTTACAAAACTGTTAGTAAAAAAAAATCCAGAATTAAATCTAAAAACCTACCCTGGATATGTAACAATATTTTCTAATAATAATGCCCTCTTTCTTTAAGGGGAGGAAAAAAAACGACAATCCCCGAGCCCCCCAAAACTGACCCTAGGTTTGTTTCACATAAGCGTATCAAAATGACAACGACAGATATTTCTGAAAAGAGAAGTGTCAATAAACAATAAACGTGCACTTGAAAGTAAATCTAGTTTAAACTATTTAACTTACAGGTATTTAAGCTGCATTCGTGGAAATGAAGATGTCTTGATTTCTGATATTATATTTGAGCTGAGATCTAAACTCTCAAGAGCAGGGTACGACTGGAACACCTCCCCATTTATTTCTGCAATCGTATTATGGACTCTACGAAACAAAGATGATATTGAGGCTACTACCAGTGATCCACCCCAGGCTATAACAACATTAAATAATTAGCCCTGGCTGGTGTGGCTCACACTGGCCTGTGAACCAAAGGATCGCCAGTTTGATCCCCAGTCAGGGCACATGCAAGTGTTTTGGGCCAGGGCCCCAGCAAGGGGCGCTTGAAAGGTAACCACACATGGTTGGATGGGTCTCCCTCCCTTCCCCTCTAAAAATAAATAAATATAATCTTTTTAAAAATATTTTTTAAATGTTAAATAATTGGGATCAACAATAAGGGTACCTAAAAAAACAAATTAAAAAACTGCGTACTCTTTATAATTTCAGTGAAAGATCCGAAATCTTATTTACTTACAATGACAGTACAGTAATGTTAGAGGTTGCTTCTCCAAAATACGGGATTTCTGTTAGCTCATTATAATTCATTTTCCTAGGCACAGAAGGAAAAGAAGATTTCAAAGTTTAGTGAGAGAAATGTTACCTCCTGAGTTCTGGTTTACTGGCTAATACATATTCTTTAAGACAGGGACCACATTTGAAAAAAAGTCTATGACTCGGAATGAGTTAGACTAAATGTATCATAATGGGAAATTAGAGGTTTTACTAAGAAATGCTTTTTCATAGCACAGGTCTATGATGGATCTCAGTATTTAAAAGGTTAGGAAACACTGTGCACATTTAATACTTTTAAATGCCACTAAGGGTCTTTGAATAGTTATTTTATAACAGCTACTTCGCATCCTTCTTAAAGAAATAATAATTAATACATCCATATCTCTTCTATATATTTATAATGAAATTGTAAATTACATAAATTTTAAAAATATACAAATATGAAAAATACACATATGTTTAAAAGTTACTCAAAGTGAAGGAGGACTGCTTGAGAGCACAGACGAAATTTACCAAGCCAGAGATGGAAACTATGGTTAAATTTGACAGATGACATGACATGGCACCATCTGACCCATCACATGTCACCATGTGATCCCAGCAGCTCTTTAAAACAGATTGTCTTAAACGTTTTAGCAGGAAATCTAACATAATCACTTTTCATTAACCTGGTTTTCAATCAGTGAACCTTGACAATTCAAAATACAGGGAAAAACCTAAGTAAAAGGCCTCCAAGGAACCAAAAGAAGCTACAAAGTCCACGTAATAAAGCAGCTCATGCACGTCTCACGGAAGCATTTTCACACCTCTCCGCAGTGCCTACTCCTTCAGCTGACACGCCTGTCAACCGCCCACCCACTCCACAGCGGAGCAGAAGCAGGCAGTCCGGGGCAGGGAGGAACAGAACGCAGGAACAGTGAGAGCACGAGCTACCTTGTCAGCAAGAATCGAAGAAGAGAAATAACTCTGAGGGTGTTCAGGGTAAAGGCACAACAGGCTCAGCAGCTGTCCCTCTGGGAGTGTCCCAGTACAGTAACTGACAGTACTGCCACAGGGTGGGGCAACAGTAGATTTACTGTTGTTTGTATAGAAAACAATACAGTACCTATAAATAATAATATAAAATAAAGTCCAGGTTTCATAGCCTCACAACTGTAAACCTACTTTTGCCCCACCCTGTATTAGAGAAAATTTCCTCCAAAGAATAAATAATACTACATCTCAGTATTAAAGGAAAAACTTCAGTAAAGTGGAAAACTGAATATTATTAACCACCATATTCAAAATGAAACCAAAAGTACTGTATTTCATATAAATCTACTATAGACATAATGCTTCCATTTTAGATGAGTTAAGACTTTAAAGGAAGTTTACACAAGAGAATTTCATTGGCTTAAACTTTGGCAAAAACCAAGCAAAACATATTTACTCTTCAGAGAAAAAAGTCTTACTTTTGGCCCCCCAAAAGGCTATTTCTACGGTTTGCTACTTACAATCACCAACCCAAACCACAATGCCCAGAATTTGTGACGATAAAGCCAAAGATGACAGATTAAGGTTTTAAACAATGTCTTTTAATTTAATTTAAACATCCTCAAATTCATAGGTCATTAAATCACCTTGAATTTAATGTACATTTAAGTAAAATAACTTACACTTCTTGTAATGTCTGAGATTCCAAGCTGATGTTCCAGTTAGACAACCGATTATGACTCAAATCCCTAAATGGAAGACAAATTAGCATTCTTAGTTTTAGTGTTGGAAAGTTTAGTGTCTTTAAAAAAAATAAACTAAAATAGGAAACTTAAAAAAAAATTGTTTAAAGTAAACTAAAACAGGAATCTAAAAGCCCTATCAAATACGAATTGGAGTAGAACAGACAAAAATAATGTTTATAAAACATGAATAAAAATCTACCTGGATTCCAAAATAGCTATTTTACTTTTTCATTTTTATATATTCTTAATTAACTACAAAATACATTCACAAGATTCAATAATTAATGAAAAGGACATATAGTAAAAAGTCTCCCACCCTTGACTCCAGCCATTTAGTTCCCCTTCCCCGCAGCAACAAATGAAAACATCCCACCTCTGTGTAGACTGCCAGGTCGCATGTACCAGCAAATTTCTACCTTGGTCACACCTTACTCTGCCCTTGCTTCTTTCACTCACCAGTGGAGCTTGCAGATCATTTCACAGCACCTTCATCCATTTTAGTGGTATTATGCTTTATTGTAATGTACTATGTTTTATATGCTTCTGAAATATATACTTTAAGTTATATAAATATGTATTTTTTTATTTTTTATATATTTTATTTATTTTTAGAGAAAGGGGAAGGGAGTGAAAAGAGAGGGTGAAAAACACTGACGTGAGAGAGAAATATTGACTGGATGCCTCTCATATGGGTCCTGACTGAGGACCAAACCTGCAACCCAGGCACGTGCCCTGACCAGGAATTGAACCAGTGACCTTTAGCTTTGTGGAATCACACCCTAACCAACTTGAGCCACACAAATCAGGGCTAAATATGTCATTTTTAAAGTAACATATACTTTACAGAATATACAGTATGCTATATAATAATGTTAAACTACCATTTAGCTGAAGACAAACTTGGGAGATTTCACAAGTTAAGACAATGAGCTTGTATATTAGAATTGGGGTTGACTATATGCTTGATAGGGACACGGTCTTCCTTCAAAAAAGAAAAAAGCAGCCTTTTTTGAAGCCTAGTAGACTGAGTGCTGGCCTGCAGAACCAGAGGGTGGCCGGTTCAATTCCCAGTCAGGGAACATGCCTGGGCTACAGGCCAGGTCCCCAGTAGGGGGCGCGTGAGAGGCAACCGCACATTGATATTTCCCTCTCTCCCTCCCTTCCTCTCTCTAAAAATGTATAAATAAAACCTTTAAAATATATAAATAAAAAATAAAAGCAATCTAGCTTAAGGGAAAGGAAAATCATCTTACTCCAAACAATGATGGTGGTGGTGGTGGTGGCAGCGGCAGCTGACATTTCAATGCCGGACACCTTCCACTACATTTTAAACACAGGAACTGCCTAAATCCACACAACCACCTATGACGCAAATGCCCTTACAATCCTGCTTTCCTGATACTATAATGGGCAGAGTAATAATCTGTCAACCCAAAGTCACACAGCTAATAAGTAAGGAAGCCATAAACTAGAAATTCCATCTCACTTCTATTAAAAGTTTATTAAATATAGCAGAGATTGCTCTAAAATTAGCCTTTAGCCTAAATATTTAAATAGGCTTAAAAAAAAAAGTTCACCTTGATGCTTCTGGGCATCTTTACAAGCCAGAAGGTGGAACTGAGCCACACAAGCTGCCAGCCCAAGAGATGTATTAGACAGCACAACATGGCTAGTAATTGGGACACGCCAGAGACACATCCCGGATCACTGTATCTCGCTGTGCCACCACGGGCAGCCCACAGACGCATGCAGGTCTGAACGACGTCTCTATCACAGACCCATGTGCTCTCAGCTAGATTCCTGTCTATCTGTAAAACCTAGCCACTTTCATTTAAGAGCTTAACTTACACTATAACAGTATAACTAAGACTGGATCAAGCAAGCCATTACTTTTTCACAAGTTCTGACATATCTTGGAATAAAACCGTTATTCCAAGATATATGGCATCAGGTATCAGCTCAAGGACACTCATTAATGGAGAAGTGATGGGAAATACAAAATATATGACTTTGCTCCACATAAAATCTTATATTCAGAAACTTTATACCAATTCACACTTGCTACTAAACAACAAACCCAGAATTCCATACAACTCTTAAGGTGTTTACTGTATTTTGCCCACATTTTTTAGGGAAAACTAAGGATGCACATTACAGGGGTATAATGATTGCATACCATGGGTATAATAATAGGCATAATAATCCCGTGTAACATGTGCACAAAACCATGGGTGTGCATCACACATGGGAAAATATGGTATTTACTGTAGTGTTTCAGCTGAAGGAGAAATACAGCTGTTCTAATCAGATACTGCATATTCTGCTCCAAGGTGGCTTGTCTGGCAAACAGACAACTGATACTATTTCTACGCCAGACTAGCATACAAAGACTTAATTCCACATCTCATGCTTGCTGAAATTTAATTTTTTTTCTTTTACAGATTGAGGGCTTTCATTTTAGTAACAGTGCTTCTAACACCTTTCCAAATCCTACCTAACCTCCCTGGCCAGGTAACTCTTGACCATACCCATCCCTTGCAGTTTTCTCATGAATGTCAATGATGACCAAATAAACCAGTTTTAAAGAAAACCATTATTACAGAAATAGAAAGTCATCAAATCAAACTCAACATGGCATAAACCACTGAATTTATTATCAGTAAAAAAAAAAAAAAACAGTTCAGTGTCTCTATTGGGGGAAGGAGGAACTTTCACAGTATCTTTAAAGAACCTCTAAGGTGTTTCAATGGCACCCAAAGGATACCTGAAATGCTTTGGGGACTCTCTACAAAGCAATGCTGTCTTAAGAATATAGATCTCATAGTTCAGAATCCCATATAACAAGGCTCTCTGGACTCTTCTGCAACAAATCCATGCTGAATGAATTAAAAACCACTAACGGTGTACTGGAATACACTCCCAAAGTAGCACTATCATAGAAGCAGCCAGTAAGAGTTGCTATAGTTGTTTAACTTACCAAAACACGAAGTATCTAACTAGAGTTATATGGACTGATCTGAAATGAACCTCAGCTATTCATGCATTACTGAACCACAGGCCAAACAACTATAAACACTGTCAACATTAGTAATCTTTATAACTTTTTTTAAAAGATTTTATTTATTTAGTTTTAGAGAGAGGGGAAGGGAGGGGGAAAGAGGTAGAAACACTGACTGGTTGCCTCTAGTGTGCCCCCTAAATGGGGACCTGGCCTACAACCCAGGCATGTGCCCTGAACTGGGAATCGAACTGACAACCTTTTGGTTCTCAGGCCAGCACTGAGCCCACTGAGGCACGCCAGCCAGGGCCCTTTATGACTTTTTCAAAAGATACATTTACAGTACCAGGAATGGGAATCACTCTAAATGTGTAAACATAAATTCAACATCAACTCCACTATATGTCTCCTCATTGGAAATGCATAAATTAACTTTCTTTTAGTATTCTCAAGTCCTGATGGGTGTGGCTCAATTGGTTGGGAGTCATCAGGCAAAGTAAAATGTCCCAGTTAGATTCACGGTCAGGGCACCTGCCTGGATTGCAGGTTCCATCCCTAGTCAGGGTTCGTGCAAGAGGCAACTGACCAATGTTCCTCCACACGTCCAATTTATCTCCCTTTCTTTCTCCCTCCCTCCTCCTCTCTCTCAAAATAAAACGTACTTCCAAAAGGCTGAAGAAGACTGAAGACTTCAAATATCAGGTGTAAGACTCTTAGATTAAGAATCTGGGCAATCTTAAAAATTAAAGTCTCTCACTATCCTTCCCAGTGGCCAATCATTAATTCCATTTATTTTGCATGGGGTAATGCTAGTTTGCCTGTTTTTTTAAAGCCAGAGTCCCAAAACAGAGAACTGTCTTTCAAATAGTCTCCCCTTGACATAATCCTAAAATGCAGTTAAAAACTTAAGTAAACTAATGCTTGGTCAACATCACCTAAAGAGTCTAACGCTTTGTAACAGTCAATAATCTTTCCTTTATTTTTTACACCACTAACATCTTACTATTTATGGATACAATGTTTCAAGAGTAAAGGTCTCAAAGAAGGCTTTATCTCAGTGTTATAAACTTAGCTCCCACTCATACTAATCTACAGGGATGTATCTGTAATAAATGATGAATTATTAACATTCTTGGGGATCATGTAGAGCCAGAGGTGCCATTAACGTAGTCGTTTAGTACCATCAGGGTGTAAATAATTTATAGCATGCACAGAGCAATCTCCTCTGCAATCAAGCAGAGGAGGAGAATCGGTTCTGCGAGCTACCCGCGAAGTCCCGAGCATCAGACACCGGGGTTTCCTTCTCCAGTCACACGGGCATGTTTTCGAGTCATCTGTAGCACTGACAGGCAAAGCTGTGAGCTTCAACAATAACTCAAGTTTTTTAAAGGAGTCCTTTGCAAAAGCTAAAAGAACATATTATAGCTAATAGTTTGGACAATGCTTCACATATTTATACAGATAATTTTCCCTTCCTTTTGTAAATGGAAATTCGTATTGTTGGAGTATATCTAGCCTAATTTACTTTTAAAAGACAAGACTGCAAAACAACTCTTAAAATTGTCTGCTTTTAAGTTTGCTTTTTCTTTACCACTAAGAGCTTTACACCAAAAGTCAGCCTTCCTGTCTGTAGGGGAGCTGTTTGAAATGTCTCTAAATTTATTCCTGCTCATTCCTGTCACAGGCCAGGAACCCCAGTGCCTGTCAGAACTGCCTGAGACAGGAGCAGATGAGCTCTGAGAGTCTGACAGGCTCCTTCGGGAGTGAATGCTTCCTGGAAACTTTTTATCATGAACCATAATGCTACTCCAGACTAAACTTTCTATCCCTCATCTGTGCTCCTTATTTGTAACACACTGTACAACACTTCTGTGAATCCAAAAAGTTGAAGATTGTGGGAAGATGAGAGTCTTCGCTTCAAGAATGAGAGGCATGTTTTATTTTCTTCCGTTACCTTTCCCTGGGTTCTTAATGAATGAAAACATTGCTCCATAAGGGGAATACA